TAAGAATAAAAATAGCCATAGGAAAATCAAAAATATCCAATCATAAACTTAACATGTAAGATAAAAAAAATAGCTAATGATAATGCACGCCAAACATGCAACTGTTTTTCCATGATTTACTTAAAATACCAAGCACGTCAGAAACGTCATATGCTTATATAAATTATGAAAAAGATTGATGTTTTACTATTCTGTGACCTAGTCGGTGAGTGCGTTGATGATCGACCATCGTTCGAATCCAGTAAGGTTTATGGGGTTTTTTGTGAAGCCAACTTGGCCGTTCTATACTTGGAAGATGTTATATAGTAAATCGGACTCAATCACGTGATTATAGAATAAATGAGTCTTATTTTAACCAAATTTGGTCGTTGTTTAACTAGCATGCATTAACACTAGCCTAGTAAAACATAAATAATTATTAATAACTGAATTGGGCAATAATAAGTATATAATTTATGCAAATATTTATAATTTCTAAAATTACAATTCACTTACCCCCAAAAACATATAGTCAATTTAAGGGAGGGAGAGGGGGTAGAAAATTTTGCGGTTGCTTGTTTCCCAGATGTCCCTTCATAGTTTGAGCCCTATTATGCAACATTTTTAAATTTAAAATATACAATTTTTCTTCATCGTTACATGTTTGGATACTATAGGTTAGCTTGATACAATACTTTTTGATTATATATTATATTCCTCCAGGTTTTTTACATTCTCACTTAAAATATAAAACTGCTTGATAGAAATAGACAAAAGATGATTTATATTTAACACAAAGGTAACAAAAAAAAAAGTCTAGATGATATATAAAAATGATTTTAAATTTATTTTAAGAATTAATTATTAGATTAAAATAAAATAATAAGAAGAAAGATTATTCTATTTGCTAATTCCTCTTTTGTGTGTATTCAAAATTAAATTGCATGATTTAACACATATAAATTATGTTCCAAACTAAACATTTACTTTGAAGTTCGGAAATAATAAATGATATACAGATTCATTTTATAATGAATACTATGTATCATTATATAAAAAAAAATGTTCTAAACTCCCTTAAGGTTTACATGCGCCAACTGTATCCCATACAACAAATAATTAATCATTTTACACAATTTTTTATACATGTATAACTTTACAATTTTTTTAAAAAATATTTCGTCGCGATTCTCATAAAAAAATTTGTAGACAAATTATCGCTTTCAAAATGGATATCATTTTGTAAAACAATATTTTTATTTATTTTGTAATTGGGCAAAGGTTCGTGTATAAACAATTTGGGTTTTATTAAATTTTAGAGAAACTAAAATACTTTTATAAAAATTTATCATGTCTATTTTATCACTTCTTTAAAAATAATTACCCAAAATAATTACGATTACAAACGGTTGCTACATGAGGGGAAATTTTGGAAGCAAATGCTATAAACAAGCGACAATTTATCCCTTTACCAGTTGAAATATTTTTACTAGAAGCCGAATTATCCTGCAAGTTATATGAAAATAAATTTCTTCTACCCTTATTGATGTATGTTTACTAGTAAGGTCATAGTAATATAATAGAATAAAATCAGTCGTTAGAGGAAGGCAAGGAAGCTCAAGCCTCCTAAAAACTTAATTGAATATCTCCTATTTTTAGTTAATGGATAAAAAAAATTTTTGCTAAAGATAGATTTTTTCTTTTTTTGTTGTTGCAATTTTATATATAATTCTTCTAATTTGCCACTTCTAAAATTATTTTTAGAATATTTTTTACAATAGAGCCCCTTTGGGTAAAAATTCTAGTGCTGTCATGGACTACATTCCCTCTCTTCATGATGATCACAACCATATCCTGATCCTAAATCTTTATTAAAAAACAGAGTAATGAATGTCAGCAGTCAGGCTCTAACAAACTTAGACAGGTTCAGGTTTGGACTGATAGGTAGATCGATCCTTTTGATAAAGGCCTTCTGGTAGTACCTTGAAACTTGGACGGGGTAGGTCTTTTTATAAATATCTCAATTAACTAATTTAGCAAAAATTATTCTTTATATATATTTTATTTTTTATATCTTTTTTGGGGAAGTTTGAATTCATTCATTTCCTCTCATGAAACTTAAAAGAAGTGATCCACCGATCACTTATGACACCTTCATTATCCAACCCCCGTTACTAACACAATGCGGGCAAATGCTAACATTGACCGTACCCGCGAATATGGGTTATCGGTGTCACTCAAAATTTATAAAGAAAACACTATACTTATAATCCTAAACAAGCTGCATCTATTCCCCTAGGAACACATATTTCCCAAGGCAGAGGATAGTATCATAAAAAAAAGAAACCGACTTTCCAATAAGACAACGCAAGCAATTACGTGTATAAGCTATTGGCTAAGAATCGGAATAGATATGCCCACTACAAAATATTCTAGGGCCTGAAAATTATACAATTTTAGTAATTCTCGCATTTATACATTATGCATCCAAACTCGATTTCGTAAATCTTAATAATAAATTAATTTTTTTAAAATAAAATTTTGACTTTGGATGCATCTTAAATTTCCTATAAAATTTTAATGGTAATTAAAAAGAAATAGAAAAATCGTTTTTTTTCATGCTTAATAATAGGTATATAAAATTTGATAAATAATAAATTTAATGGCTATGCATAACTAAATTAAATTAGCCAAATTTTTTTATACTGGGATGGGTTGTATTTATTGACATTATTTTATTAGTTTAACTAAATTAAGCTCTAATGTAATCCCCAGGGCCATGCTGACGGCCTGGGGCAAAAATATATTTGTCGGCCCTTTAAAACCGACAATTTACCTAAGCAAAGGAAATCCATAAGGAAATCCATAAGATTAGCATTTGGAAGGGTAGTTGAATGCAAATCAGCTGGACCCACCATTTTGGTAACCAGTATAGTAATTATTCTCATGTTAAAAACTACTATTGAATTGATAACTTGTTTCCTTATTATCTCGATGATCAAGCATATCTTTAATAAAGTTTGCGTCCGACATAGGAATAAATTGGCCTCTTGTTTAAAATTTTTAATAATATGGGTAATTAAAATGGGGTCCCCAGCTGTTTTCATTGATGTACACCTTTAATGAATGCATCGTCAGTCTAGTTATTATATGTCATTGAGCAAAATACAACTTTTAATATTATTTCTAGATCAAATTTGTAAAAAAAATATATATTTTATATAATTAGAAACCGTTAAAATAAAACCTGTGATGCAGGTGTTATTTTATATTATACTATAAAAAAATATTTAGAAATATATATTATTTTTTAAATATTTGGATTTTCAATTTGATTTCTATTTTATATATGCTTATAAAACATGAAAAATAATTAATAATTCATTTATTAATTAATAACTTCGCTATAGTAAATCCCCTGAGTGGCATATAGCAAAAATATTACTAACTAAATTTTAAGGAAATCTAAGTAGCAGAGAAAGAAAGAAAATCAAAAACCTCTCTTAAAGATTTATAAGAATCCAATGATGCACCGATAAATAAATAGTTACAATATATAAATCATATCTTTTATTTTTTTTTAATTTTTGGTATCAGCTGATAGGTGGCATCGGTTAAAAAAGATGGCATATGTGCTAGAGATCTATCCCGAATGATATTTTTTCCATTTTTTCCTCTTTATCCAGAAAAGCCCCGCCCCAAATTAAACTTATTTGTTCGCCTGGCCTGAATTTATTCAAATATAAAAAAATTTAAATATCATTTTTAATTATAAAATAATATTCCTACAAATGAAAAAATATTGACAGCCTTATTTCTTGGTAAAATTTTTTTAAATATTCTAATTTATTTCACAAAATTGAATGATTATTATATTTAAAATATAAGCCTGGCCAGGCCTGAATTTTTAAAAAAAAATTCTACACGACCCAGCCCGACCTGTATTTTTTAAAAAAAATAGGTTGCGGGCTTTGCACTAATCGCTGCTCTGGTTCTAGTAAAAGTTAAACCAATTTATGTGCATATTACGCAAAATATTTTGTATGATGTATCTTTAGTATAGTTGGGTAATGGCAAAATGTCAGCTAATTCGGCACAGGCGTGTGCCGGCGAAAATCCGTTGTCATTAAGGCGTTTTAATTTAAATTAGTTTCTTTCACATTTGAGCTGGTATATTTCTTAGAAAAATATCGTGGCAATAGTTATAATTTCCGGCTAAAAACTCGGTTTAGATGACTCTTTATCCGGCTAAAAATTGGCTTAAACAGCTATAAATATAGTACATAACTATAATCTTTAGAAGGCTTTATATAAATGTTTATTGTTCGAAATTTTTTTTCGTTGCCTAAGTTTAGAAACCGAAATCCTCGAAAGGTAAAATTTAAAAAAACTGAACCCAGTCTTTTTAAATTTTCAGGAGACATAACCCACTTTTAAAAAAAATAATCAAACCCAAAAACTTTTTTTCTTTTAGTCCAGATTCTAAACTCCGCCTAAAACTATGAGAAATTTTTTTTTCTGTTTCTTAAAAATATTCAAGACCTGCAGGTCCAACCCGACTGACCAAGTATCTTTGAAAATCCGAGCCGGGTCAAAAATTAAAACTCAAACATTACTTTTTAAAATAAATTTAAAAGCTGAAAATCATATATTTAATGGATCCATTTAAAATTCATTTACCGCTCATATTTTACTCATTTGAAGTAATTTATAAAATGGAACCAATTTTTTTTTACAAATTCAAAATGGAGGGTAAAATGATCAAAATTTGTTTTAAAAAAACGCGGGCTTAAATTTTTTCAAAAGCAAACAGGACTTCAAAAATTAGTCCTCTGCTAGGTATATCACGTGTTCATGAATTATAAATGGTTGACAGTCAACCATTTTTAAAGGTTATTAACGTCTTCGTCTTACCTTAAAGTTATAAAAAATAATTATGATGACTTTTATTATGGTAATATTAATATTATAAAATATAATTAATGTATAAAAACATGTATTTTTTTTAAAAAAAAAATTTTTAAGTTTTTACAATCATAAAAATATGACAAAGTATGTTAAAAAAATATAAAACACAAATGGTTACAAAAAGAACATGTTATTATTACATAAACATTATTATGGTGGTGTTTGAGGTTTTGAGCATTTATATTTTTATTTAAAAAAAATGAATTCCCCATAAAAATCCCTAGAAACCGTTTTATAAATAAAAATCAAAATAGAAATATATTGCCTTCTAAATAGAGTGTTAGCGATGGAGATTTTTTTTCTTCTAAATTACACACAATGATGCCTAATTTAGATTAGATTGTGTTTAAAATCTATTTTTTAAGAGTTTTTAAACCTTTAAAGGAAATCTAGTGATAAAGTTCTGAAAATTTACAAACATGTTTTAATCACATTTTTTAATTTTTGTGTTTTAAAAAAAATCGATGAAGTTTTAAAAAAGTTTTTCGAATTGAATATTTGATATTTTGGACACAGTCTTAGAATGTGTACAATATTTAGATTTTTTTAATTATTATTCACCCATGTATGATGAAAACCATTTAAATTGACGCATTATTTGACGATGAAATAACTCCAGGCAAAAATTTAACGCTAAATCAAGAATGCAAAAAAAATAATATTAACTTATTAAATTAATTTTTTTAATTTAATATATAATTGGACAAATAATCCTCATTTTAATTTTGCAGTGAAAAATATGTCCCGATTTAGATTATTATATAGGTGAAGGTGGTTGATACATGAATATGATATAAATAAATAAAAAATATATATATATAATCCCCATGTTAAAATAATTAACAATATTTTCTTACATACAAAAAAAATTAGTCAAGGTTATTTGATATATGTTAAATAGTAAATAAATACTGAGATAATATGGAAATGGATATCATTAATTTTTGGATCATAATATAAGTAATAACAATTTAGTATTAAAAAAAATAAAGAGATAAATAATTTATTACTATAAAGTGTATTAAAAAAAGGACGAAAAAGAATATTTTTAAATTATTATTTAAGGTTATATAAATGGTTGATTATATGAAATATAAGGGATCATGGACAGAAATGTCCTGGTCAAAAGTATTCTGGATAAAAGGGCATATAACAAAAAGACATCGGACAAAAATACCTAATTCTCAAAATAAATTTAAACGCTTTAAAAAGTTAATATTTTTTTTAAAATTACTTTTCTATTTTTTAAGCCATTAAAAAAATTTACAAAATTGGGATATTTTGTCCGAGGTACTTTTATCCAGGTTTTTTTGTCCATGAAATTTCTGTCTGTGATTCATATTTATTTAATTGAATTAAATAAAAAAATTGTATTAAATTGGGTTACAAGAAGATGATAGTCAAAAAGCGTATATAAATAAATAGGGCAGGATTAAATGTCCTCTATATATAAAAAAAGAAGTCGGGATTTATTGACCAAGTCGTTCAATCACTCGTGCATTTATTTATTTTTTAAATATTCATTGCATTCGTTTCTTTTTCATTCTATAGGTCTAAGGACTAATTGAAACACTAGCCTATCGTCAGTAAGAAAAGGTTCCAAGAAATTATTAGTTGTAGATGGAAGGACGTCACTCAAATCTACTCGTTTGTCAGTTTCGGCTAGAGTGTCTACTGGGTAACGAGTACGAGTAAAACATTTTCTCCCGGCAACGCACTTTAAAAAAAAGATTATGGTTTTCAAAAAAAAATTGTTTCCTGTAAATTTTTAATATCTTGCGAAACAGGTCCGAGTCGCTACATCTAATTGGTTAATAACATAATATAAAATAAACCTTGAAAAAAGATGATCCGCCTTCATTATTGAACTTTGAAACTACTTCGCCAAAGTTTTTCTCGCTTTTAGAGTCTTTCTCCAAGTTCAATGGATTCACAAGTGCTAAGGAATATTCCACGGAACGAGGTCTATCCAATCCCGGGGCCGGGCCCAAAGTACACCTATTGTGTTAATGATAGTATATAAGACATTTGTTTTACTTTTAAAGTAATCATATATTTTCTTATTCGTCATAGTTCTGCTAGCATCATGCCTATGTAAACAGGTAAACTGGGCCATTAGCAGATAGGGTGGAGATGAGGGAAATTTTTTTAAAAAAAACTGTATAGGCCAGACTGACAACATTCAAAGGGGGCACTAATTTTATTTTAAATAGATACATCAAGAATTATTTGCTAAAAGATTATCATTTAAGTACGTATTACCTGAACCTCTCGTGGGCCGGACCAAACCCTCTAGGATGAACTTTGAGTTCCCAATCGTAATGGGAATGAGGGGTAGAAGAGGATCGAGTAGTGAGGTAAAAGACCAGCTCAGTGTGAGAGGCCACTTTCGAAAGATTAGGAACTACGAGTCGTTTGTCCCAACGGAGTTCATCGGTGTAATTGCGAAGTAGAAAGGTATGCGAGCTGGGAATGTTGACTAATTTGGGAGAAGTATATGGATAAGAGGGAGAAATGGGAAAACTGGAGTATGAATTAGAATAGGGTGTCGCGTTAGGGTTGGCGTAAATGATAAGAGTATTGTTTGACGAACCTGAGTTCGCGTGACCAATGGGTTGGTTGATACTGCTTTTGTTGGCACAATTGTTAGCGTTAGGATTATGGTAATTGGGGTGGTTTAAGTCGCCATTGATTTGAAGGGAGAAATGGCTTGCAGCGTGCGATGAATTCGTATTATTATTTATTGCTTTATTGTCGCAAGAATCGGGATTTGGCATTACGGGGTAAGCGTTAAAAAAGAGTGGGCTCAACAAGGAAATAAGCACATGCGTGTTACCATTATCGCTGCCGAGGTTCGATTTTATATTGGTAGTATTATCGACATTGCGATTATGGTTAACATTGTTATCCTGAAATGGGGGAGAAACGAAGGTCTGATTGTTATTGCAACTAGAGGCGGAAGTATTATTAAAATAATGAGCCAGCGACGTGAGGGATAGGGCATGATGTTTGTAGGCCGATGCCAGGTGCGGGGCGAAAAGGGCCGGAAATTGATGGGCTAGCTTACTATTTATCTCCACTTCGCAGAGCTGATCGGCCGTCATCATGGGAAATCGAACAAAGGGTAAAACGTCAGCAATCAGTTCGATGGCCTAAAAAATAAAATTGAAAAATAATTGTAGGAGTTTTTGCCTCTTGACCAAATGATTTTTTTAAAGCAGCATTGATTGTGGACATGTTAAAATCAATGAAACAAATTCCAAAGGTCACCTTAGATTTAATGACTTGTTTATAAAAAAAAATATCGTAAAATAATATATTTAAAAAAATTGATAATTATCACGTTTCATAGCATTTAAAAAACAAATAAAATTGATAGAATACAGTAAAATTATGTGCTTGTTAAGTAAAAAAATAATAATTAAGATTTTTTTAAAAATACTATGTAAAAAAAAAAAGAATGGTAATAAGATACATTATCTGCCAAAATTATAAAATACTTTTATTCAAAAATTAATCTATCTCGTTCCTTGGACATATATTAGTTTTAGTATTATCCTCGCCCCAAAAAAGATAAAATAATAAGAATCACAGAATCCATTATAAAATTCCCGAAAAACCGGTGTTCTAGAAAAGGTGCGTAATTGTTCAAAGTTTGTTGTAATTTATTTTTAGTGATTTTTTTAAATAATAAGGTTTGGCACGGGAACCCTAGGAACAGAAAATCAGACTCCATTTTTCAAATATTTAGAAACCGTAAATCCTTTTTAAAAATTATTCAGAAATGGAAACTATTTTTTTAAACTCTATTTTCCAATATTTTGGCAAAAAGGAATATTATGAATAAATTATATTTATATATCTCTTGTTATTTTGTTTAATAGCGACATCCTACAAGATGGCGCACAAATAAATAAAATTACAAATTAATCGGACATTTACATTTTTAGCCATAAATTTTTTTAAAAAAAAACATTACATTTATAAAGATTATTATAACATAAATATTTAAAAAAAGTAAAGTAGAACAGAATAATAATAAATTTAAAAAAAAACAGAATTGCTAATTAAGTATCTATCTTATGATTTTCTTAGAAAAAAAAGGAATTTAATTCATAAAGGTGAAACAATACGCAGATATGGATATTACTTAAAATATTATATACCTTACTTGCTTAAGTATTATTTAAATAAAAATAAATGTCACGTTCCAATATAGTTACATACGTACGCCTCAATTTTAAGTATATAAGGTTTTTGTTACGTCAAATATATAATTGTATATATGTATAATAGATATTCTTAATTTAAAATTAATGCATATTGTATATGTAAATAAATGTAGATGACAAAATATATATAAAAAAAAATAACAAATTTAATTGTATTGACCTTTGGTATAATATCATTAAAATATAGAAAAATATTAAATTTATATATTATGTAATAAATAATATTTTATAATAATTTAAGTACGGTGTAGATTAGAATATATATGTAAAATAATAAAAAAATTCCCAAAAAATATTTATAAATTTTATGTATAATTATGATGGTCATGGCAACAAAGTTATGAGAAACCTACAGGCCGGCCCCGGATATGATAATCGAGCCGTAAAATTTTATTAAGAAATAAACCAGGGGTGGAGTCTAAATATATTTTTTTATCAAAACCAGGGTCGATTATTTAAATCAGTTTAAATTATATCAATTAGGAAAATAAATGACTCATTTAATATAGAGACCGGTGCATCTCTTCCTAAAGCAAGCCGGAGTCCCGAAAATAATTTTAAAACTGATAATTAGACAAGTTTGTGTCGCTTTATTTCAGGAAAAAATTATTATCCCGATAGATTTCCACGGCTAATTCGGGACGATTTCTAAATATTCATATGTTGGCTCATATTTTCGATTTCACTTTTGAACAATTTACACAATAAGAAGCTAAAATTACTCAAAATAACGGACTTTTGCATTTTCATTTATAATTTCTTAAAAAAATTTAAAACAATGGCTAAACGTCTACAAAAAAAAAATTCAATATAATAATAAAGCATAAAATTGTATAAATATCAGAGACCTGCAAGCCCGGCCCTAAACCCGGGTACATGGGCCGGGCCTTCCAAATAGTATACCTCTGTATGTCTCTGATAAATATTAATCTAAATAAAATATCGTTTCAATCGTGGGTAAAAGTATAATAGGGAATAAGTCTGAGTTAGCTCCTCAATTTCAAGAAACCGGTCGAACCTCGATCTTTAGAATCTATTGCCGGTCGGATACGGGACCTAATAAAGTTTGGTACATCTTTAGTTTTAAAAAAAAATCCGTTTTCTATTAAAAAAATTATTATTATTTATATTTTTTTCTATGTAAATGTGTCACCTGAGTGTTGATTAAATCTTAAGGTGTTATTTCGCAAAAATAATCGATTCTAAATTATATTAACAATACTTATGTTATCTCACATGTATATATATCAATATATAACAGAGATCTGCATGCTCGACCTGAAAGCGAAATAGCATAACTAGTCGGCTGAGCATTATAGTGTTCTATCTCAATTTTACGTTTTAAAAAAATTTTTTTTTTGTATTTTTAATATCAGATCACAATAAATGCAAATAAAAGGATATTATTCCAAATTATATTTTAAAACTGATGATATGAAAGTAGATAATACCGAGGATTCATTAATCTTACAACCGGGTAGTGTTGTTGAATGACTCGATTCGAGCCGATTTTTAAAAACGGCTAACTCAATATTTTCACCAGAAAAATATTGCTCTAAACCTCGAGATTCCGCTAATAGATTGCTCAAACCTTTCGTGCCATGTATGATCAAAATCTTCAGGCTTGCTTAATATTTAGTCTCGGATAAAATATTGGGTTAGCCGTTTTTTATATATAGGCTCAAATCGAGCTGTTTAACAACAATACCACCGGACCGATTTTTTGTTAAAAATTAATTAATTTAAATTATATCAATTTTACTGCTAACATTTTCAATTTTTTTTCTCTTTGAAACGATTTACAAAATACTATATAATTGTTTTAATGTAACTACATAAAAACTTTTAACTGTTACATTTTAAAAAAGTATCTTTGAGACTCAATCTCAACAAAATTAATGATAACCTATTACTAAAAAAAGTGTAAACACACTAAAATCCGCCATTGAGAGGCCTATTAGACGAAATGTGAAAGGCGTTTAAACTCTTTTTCACAATAAAGTCTTAGAAATCATTGCCATTAATTACAGTTGACTATAATGTCTGTTATGAACACCTTTAATGAATGAATGACCAGTCTGGGTTAGTATCAATGTCATTAGCTTTGGCTGTAAGCCATATTTGAGTTAGTGTTTTTAAACGTTTAAAAACGGCAAATTCAATATTTTAGCCAAAAAAATATTGCTCTAAACCTCGTGATTTCGCTAATCGATATCTCGACCTTAGTGCCATCTATGAGCAAAATCTTCAGGCTTGCGTAATATTATTCTAGATAAAATATTAATTAATCACTTTTTAAAAATCAGCTCAAATCGAGCCGTCTAACAACACTAATCTGAGTTGGCATAAAGTTGACGTTCTTTAACAACTCAAATATATTATTATTATTCTATATTTATTTTTATTCCTGAACTATAAATTAATTTTCGTTCCCAGAAATCATCAAAAAATTTCCCCTAACACGAATTAACTAATCAGAATACAAGAAAAATATAGAAATAATTAGGTACGCGTATATACGAATATAGCGGAAGCGGAGTCAAAATATTTTTTTTTTTGATTTTTTTTTTAAAAAAAAAAGCTAATTAAACATAATAAATAAATTTTTATAATAAAAAAAAAACCTGAGCAAACAAAATAAAAAGCAAAAAAAAAGGATAACAAATTTTTGATGATTTATACAAAGTTTACGCTTGCTAGTGCTTCTAAGAATTATAATTTTATAATTTGAATTTATGAGTTTTTTTTAAAAAATGCTTTTAAAAATCGAAAAGTTAAATAAATAACTTCTTTTTTTTTAAAAAAAAACGTAGTAATAAATAGGATATATTTATTTTATTATTTTTATCTTTAAGCTTTGAAGTTAAAGATGATAACTAACATCGAAATTCGGAGAAGCGGCTATAAATAGTATTTTTTTCCCTCCGATTTTGGAAGTTAAATATATTAATTCTTAGAAATTCTGATGCTAATAATTTTATTTTACTTTGTTTTTTTTTAAAAAGATTAATATTTAAAAATTATTCTTAATTTTAAGATCGCGTCATTTTATTTTCAAAAAAAAATCGCAAAACAAAAATATAATTGGCTCTTTCAAAAAATGGCAAAATGGAAGTTGCCTAGAGTTGTGATTTAATAAATTAATATTTTCTCTTTTTTTTAAAAAAAAAAAGGTCATAATTACCCCCTTCTTAAATAAATATGAATCATTTCCTTTAAAAAAAAAAATTTTACGAGAAGGGGAAAGATAAATCCATTTTTCGCTTTTAAACTTAATTTAATTTATATTCGATTTTCCATATAATTTTTATAAAAATTATAAATGGCTCAAAGGTTATCAGCAAAATTGTCTACGATTCATAAGATAGGTATTCCAAACATGATTGAATATATTTCCGGTAAAATCCGATTTTTAAATTTTAAAAAAAAACGTGCTCAAAAAATGATTTTAAAGTTGAAAAAATAACACATTGCCAGAAAAAACACGTTAACGCTAGCATATATATATTATAATAATATTTGAAATAAAGGGATTAGAATTGGTTTGGTAATAGAGATTTATAAGGGAGAAGAAGTTTTTTGTATAATAACAGGTTATTTCCTAAGCATGTTTATTAAAAAAAATGTTTTGCTTATCGCCTTTATCGAGGGAATGTTTTTTTATATTTATAAACATATCTTTCTTTCAATATTAATTTTATTTTATATATAATAAAAAAAATGAATCTATGATGTAATATTAAATTGTATTATTTTTTATCTATAAAATGTTTGACTAAGTCTTGTTCTGATTTATATCTAATATCATTAAATATTTTTATTCAATCTTAGGTTATGACACACTATTACCAATAACCCTGTAGTCGAGTCTTCAATCGATTTCATTTCTTATTATTGAATATTACCCCAAACCGACCATTTTCTTTATGAAAGAGAAGTATAACTAGATATTGTTAGTAAGATATTAGACACTTCTCTTAAAGTTCAAGGTGGACAAAGTCCATCCCAACCCTTGAAGCTGAAATCTGATTGCTTTTTATGAAAGTTACTGCTTTCCGCATATTTTGGCTATTAAAGATATCGCGGTTTTGACTTCTGAAATTTATTATATCCCTTAAAATACTTTGATTATCATCATTTGATGCCTAATTCTTGTATCTCACGTGCTTCATCAAATTTATTACTAGTAAGATGCTCCTCTTATATTAAGGATCCAATAAATAATCAGCAGAGTGAGCACATGTATTAGGATTGTTATTATACAAAATATCCAATTTTACAGGTGGAGAAATTATAAAATCATCGCGTGATCATAATTATGTGTTTCCAAATTTAGAATAACGTTTATTACGTGGGCCAAAGTGCATTTATACCTTTGCAATTACAATAATAACTAAATGTAAAGAATAGTTTAAAATTTTTAATTTTTCGTCCAAAATATTTCTCGTTTAATATATTATTTGTAATTTCTTTCAGACAACTATCCATCTTATTCAACAGCTGCTTTTAGAGCTTTCTTGCACATTTGTATTTGCACCTTATATTTTAGTGACGATGCCAATTGTTTTGATAATTGTATATAATGTAATATAGGTAACTTTCTCAAACCAAGCTTTAGCAAAATTATTATATTTTTATGACCAGTCAATTGACCGACTTGCCAACCCTTATAAAAAGATTATTTAACAAAAATTATTATAAAGACTATTAGTCAAACTCAAAACTAAATATTTAAGTTATATTAAATTAATTTATTCCTTTTCCTTTTAATTTTGGTTCAATAATTTTTATTAATAACACTACTAAGTATGCTAATGAAAACCTAAATAAATCGATATAGTAAGACACAAAATTAATTTTTTAAAAAAAATCAATATTATTATTAAATTCCATGGCCGCGAATGAACGATAGTATTTTAAAATAGATAATACCAAGAAATTTTTAACCCCTTTATAAAATGTTATAAAATCTTTTGTATTATTTTAAATATTAAAAAAAAAATTCAAATTCATCATCTTGACACATTAGTTGAAAATAGGATAAAAATTTCTTAAATAATTACAAAATTATGGAAATATTCTATTTATTTATTTAGCTTAACTTTAGTCCTATTCTAACCAAGCTCAACAGCATATATAAAAGATCTTATCAAAAGTGTTCTATATCATGTTGAACATCTTTATTAATATGTTGGGTGAAAAAAATGTATGGTAGTAAAATTTGTAAGGTACAAGAAGAAGAAAAAAGCCTAACTGGTTACATTTGAGCATTGACATTTTAACTTTCACCTTTTAAAAAAGTTTATATATATTCTTTTCATGTAATATAATTAGAAAGAAAAGAATTGATACAAGATTAAAACTCCTTGTAAACCTAGAATAATTAATGTATAAAAAAGTTTCATGAATAACTATCATAAATATACTAAAAACTTTAAATGTCAATAACACCAAAACAAGATAATTTTTCAAGAGGTTTTTTGAAAATATATATAAAAATTAAGCTACATAGAGATTTAAAATTATTTGTTTGTGATGTGCAGAAATTTGCTGGATATTTTGCACAAATTTTTATGGAAGTGTCCACAAATATTATATTTTATATTTCTTAATTGTCAAAGACAAAGGTTGAAAGTATTCAATTGTATTTTTTAGGATTTCCTTTATAATTATGACTTCCTTTTTCATTCTGGCTATATATTAAGAAATCTATGCATTTGCAAAGTGGACATCATAAATTTGGAACTATTTTACATAATTCCAATGCATGAAAAATTAAATCTTGTAATATTTGCACCAGAGACCTGCCCAAATTGAATTTTAATTTTTTAAATATACCCAACCAAGCCTAAAATCTTTTTTTTTAAATACCCAAGCCGAGCCTAAATTTTTTTTTTAAAAAAAATACCAGGGCTTGGTCAGATATTTTAAATCACCATCATTAGAAAATTTAAAATAAATGTAATATGTTTTTAAAAAATCCAGGCTGGGCCAGGCTAAAAAAATTTTTAAAAAAATTAAGCCAGACTGTGCAAATAGCACCTCTGCAGGTTTCTGATTTGCATTATCTACAATCAAAGAAAATACATTTGCCATGATACATGACAAATAAAGAGCTAAAACTTTCAAACCCCAAATTATCCTAAAACCAAATTTAAGCTTAAATTCTTGAGAAATTTGACTTTATATTTTTTTGAAATTAAACATATTTTTTTGAAATTTTACCTTAGTTATATCATTCTGAACCTTAACCAAGAGCCATCTTTCAACTGCCAGCCATAACTGGTATTCATCTTTAATAACCAGATCTGAGCATTTTAAAATTTCAATAAGTTGATCTTTGTCAAGTCCATTCCATTCTGATTTCCATTCATCAAGTGAAGTTATATCATCCATCTTGTCTGCTAATGATGAAATACAGGCCATTATGAGTGGAGAATGGTAACATTTGGTAGCATATTGAAACCAAATGTGAAAAAGATCTTTCAATTGAAGCCTAGGTATAATATTGTTAATGGCATATTGGATGGCCACCTATAAAAATGAAATTTAATAGTTAACTATATTATTTTTACTCTAAAAACAATGTTATTAAGGGATTAAATTTATTAAAAGTGAAGTAAATCTAATTAAATATAAAATTATCACAAAATTACATGTCTTAGATCAGTCACATTATATTTATCTGCTAGAACCAATATGGGTAGAGCATCTTCAGCATTTAAAATTATATGACATCCATATAAATATCTTAAAAATTTGGTAAAAACATTAATACATTCTTTTTCTTCAATTAAGATTAATTCCTGTTAATTTTTAAATTATAAAACTATTAAATTTGTTTAATTACTTTTTCTGGGGAATCATTCCATTCATCACTAAGCATTCTCTCAAATACTTCAGAAGCACGAACCAATATCAATTTATGTGCATAAAACTTTTCTTCACCAACTCTAATAAGAATATCACTTAACCATGGATTATTAAAAAACTTTGCCTGTTCCAATAATACCTATTAAAAATAATGAATTATAGTAAATAGTTTTCAAAAAACTTGTCGTTCATTGCCAAAACAATCAATTCCTTCAATTAAAGCTATGTTCTGAGCTTTAGTTGAATTTATATGAATGTTATCTGAATCTTTTCCATTCATATAAGAACTAAGACCATGAAAATTTGTAGAAAGGTTAGTAGCCATAATAATGATATACAAATTCAAAATCAAAGGGCATATCAAATAAATTATTAAAATAACTTTTATATTATATAATATTGCGGCGAAAAATTAATTTTTCGAGAATTCTGAGAAAATTTTAAATTTAAAAAATATGCATGTATTAATAAAATGTCATTTAAAGCAATCAAGCTTCAATGACTTCGCAACAACCGGTCATAAAATAGACAATTGAACACCTTATAAAATGTTGTAATAAATTAATAAATGATTAATTATGTACATTGTATATTAAAAATAGAATCGAACATTCGAAAAATAAAAATAAAAGTTTGATGTTAAAAATAAATTTAAATATAAATTAGTAGTCGTATTGTTTATAAATTAGTAGTTGGTATTACTACAAATGGCGACGATAAATGGAGAAAATAATTCCTTAAATGGAGATAATAATTCCTTAAATGGAGAAAATAATTCCTTAAATGGAGATTCAAAAAAAATAGCGGATTTATCTACGATTAAATTTGATAAATTCGAGTTGGATACTTCTATCCACAAATATTTTTCTCAATGGGAAGCCAGTTTTCGGTTAAAAAACGTAAGCCCATCTGAATGTCAATATAAAGATATATTTTTAACATTTTTTGGCAATAAGAATATTGAGTTGGTGGACCGTTTTTGTTTACTGATTCGATCGAAACTTTATCTTTTAAGGAAATTAAGTCAATATGTTTTAAACTATTTAAACCGACGTCAACAGCTTTTGCTTCTAGATTTGATTTCGTTAGATTACGGAGAACAACTGAAACCATAACTGAATTTGCAGATAAAATTAGAACAATTGGCAAGCGTTGTCATTATCTTAATGATATTGACGAGCGTTTACGTGATCAGTTTATGATGGGCATGGAAATACCGGGATTGGAAAGAGATCTTAGAGCTCTATATCCCGACGGTCTTGATAGAGATAATAATGTACTGACTTTTCAATTTATTCTTGATCTGGCATTAGCTTCTGAGCGAGCAGATAAAGAAATGGCAAATAAAAATATGCCAGTTGTTAATAAGATAAATGTTAATAACAAAAGAAATGATAATGATAATAATTATAAACATCCAATAAAAACGACGACTACAATTGATAAAGGCTATAATAAAGTCAAGTATAATAATACATTTGATAAAGAGAATAATAAATACAAATATAATAATGATAAAGATTAAAATAAACTTAAATGTTATAAATGTGGTTTTATTCATAACCGAGAAGTGAGATGTCCAGCTACAAATGCGGCATGTAATAAATGTAAAAAAATTGGTCATTTTGCAGTTTGCTGTAAATCAAAGAATTTAAATTATATAAGAGTGTCATCAAGTGATTCTATTCATAATATTTGGAAGATTCAACAAAATCGAGAGAATCGAGCAAAACTAACTGCAGAGATAAATGGGTTAGATGTTGAATTTGATTTTGACACTGGTGCACAAGCGTCATTGATAGGAATTGATATATGGACAAGTATTGGGCGACCAAAAATTAGGCCAACCAGTCCATTGACTGCATATGGTGATCATCCGTTAGACGTCAAGGGCGAGACCCAAGTCAATGTTAGGATTGGATCACAGACAAGGACTCTACCAGTGGTAATAATGAATACAATTGGGGTGCCTCTTTTCGGATTACCATGGATTATAGCATTCAATTTAGAAATGCCTCGTCAGATTATGATTAAACAAGTACGCAATTTGGTCAACAATATTGAAAAAGAAAAATGTTGCATAACACTAGATTCTAGAATTCGAGATTTGATTAATAAACACCAAGAAATTTCGGAAGAGAATCAAGATTCTAAACATGCTTTGGATATTCGAAGTATTAATTTGGATGATATGCAATTGTCAGAAAATATTCTGCGAAAAGAGTCGAAGCAAGATTTAATATTAAAAAAAGTAGCAATACATATTCAGCAAAGTTGGCGAAACTTTGATCGTCATAAAGATAAAGAAATAGTTAATTTTTATAATCGACGGGAAGAGCTTTCTGTCAATCGTAATATTATAGAATGGAATGGGAGATTGGTTATTCCTAATAAATTAAGAAATGCAGTGTTAGAAATGATTCACTGGGGACATCCTGGGGAAAATGTAATGAAATCTATATTTAGATTGTATTGTTGGTGGCCCAGATGTGATGTTGATATAGAAAATTTTATCAAAATATGTTCTGGATGCCAGAAAAATATACCATGGTTAGAAGTTGATCTAATGCAGAATACCTCTGCTGATGCTATGATAAAACGACTAAATAAATGGTTTTCTAGGTTTGGAATACCCAAGTACAGTGTGTCAGACAAAGGACCACATTTCTTATCAGGGGAATTCCGTAGGTATTGTGATTTAAATAACATACGTCATATACGTTCGGCACCCTATCATCCAAAAACAAATGGATTAGCTGAACGTACAGTACGAACTTTGAAAGGTCGGTATTATGCAACGAGAGATTCAATTAGCGATCCCGAAGAAGCTATGACACAGGTTTTAACAACCTACCGATTGGGAGAGCATAGTTCCACAGGGAGATCTCCTGCTAAAATTATGTTTGGGAGGCAATTGAAAACAAGTCTGGATTGGATCCGACCAAATGCCGAACACGAAATAGTAAGGGCTAATGATAAACAAAGCCTTCATCATGATTTACATTCAAAGGAAAGAGAATTTGAAATCTCACAACCTATATGGTTAAATAATGAAAATACCAATGGTTGGAGAGAGGGAGTAATTAAAGAAAGAATAGGACTTTATTCTTATATTGTTGAATCTTATGGGAAAACATTACGGAAGCATGCAGATCAGTTAAGAAATCGTTTAGTTATCCCAAATCATGAAAGTTCTTTGGAAGTTACAGAAATGGTTGTTCCAGTGAATGAAGCAAATACAAACACAAATACAAATACCACATAACGTTGCTCATCAAGAAACCGTAAACCTACAAAGAGGTTTATTGAAGAAATCTAACTTAAAATTGTTTGAATGTAATAAATTAATAAATGATTAATTATGTATATTGTATATTAAAAATAGAATCGAACATTCGAAAAATAAAAATAAAAGTTTGATGTTAAAAATAAATTTAAATATAAATTAGTAGTCGTATTGTTTATAAATTAGTAGTTGGTATTACTACAAATGTTAGCTATTTTATTAATTTACTTAAAATACTGAAAAATTTAGCTGCCTACATTTTAGTGCTAATTTTAGATAGGGTTGATATAAATATTAGTTATGTTGGAAAATTTTTTATGGTATTGTTTAAAAATATTTATACTTTGTAGAAATATAAAATAAAAAAAAACAAAGAAGTTTTAATGTTGAGGAAAGCAATAGATGGTCCAAATTGTTTTCAATTGGATATATTATTACTATTTTATCTTATGAAAGAAAATACTTTGGAGGCGATAAGCTAGGAGTTACTACCTATCTCCCATCCTTACAAAAAAAATTAACCAATTATCCTCCCTAAAGACTCAAAGCTTCCATAAGCTTCAAAGAAATATATAGAGCATTAAAGTTTTTTAAGAATATTTAAAGTTAGGAGTTTAATTTTATTTATTTTATTTTAAAATTTTACATCTATAAAACTAAAAATATCATGCTTATATAGCATGTTTCAAACAAAAAATCAAATAATAATTTATATAAAAAAATCAATTTTCACAATTTATAAAAAAATTAATTTATATAAACATTAAAAAAAACAATTTAAAGGTTAGTATTAATCGGTCATATCAACATTTTCAATTGGATATATTATAACTATTTTATCTTATGAAAAAAAATACTTTGGAGGCAATAAGCTAGAAGTTACTACCTATCTCCCATCCTTATCAAAAAAGATTAACCAATTATCCTCCCTACAGACTGAAAGCTTCCATAAGCTTTAAAGAAATATAAAGAGCATGAATTTACCTTCTTCCTCCCGTTAGGTACATATTTGATTTAAAGTCCATTGAATAGTTGAGGAAAAGTATATGGTAACTTTCTGCGAAAATAAATTCAAAATCTAAAGACCTAAATTTAGCTAAGCTTTAAAACATCAAATAACGAACTTTTTTATTTTTAAAAAGAATTCACGAATAAGCAGTTTGTAAGAAATAAACATGTAGAAAAAACTAATTCATTAGCCCTCGACGTTTACCAAAATTAAATATCTTCGCTTCCAAAATTCATTTACAAAAATAAAGGAAGATTTAAATTGTAAAAGTGTGTTTTTAATTCTATAAACACTCTAAAAAAATTATAATTGGTTTTTAATAAATGATACCATGCTAGCCTATGTTCGAAAAAGCCAACCAATGTAAGCTATGCACATTCATTTAAACCTATTAATCTAGGCCTGCAGAAATCTTATCAAATAAAGGTTTGATCAATTGTTTCTTTTTTTAGAGATATGCTATTTTTGTAATTACTGTTTGTAAAAATAAATGCTCATAAAATATAAAAGATCCCTAATTATATAATCTTTCAATTTACATTTAGTTTTAATTTTATTAATAGATTTTTAACAATAAGTCACTAAAAAATAAAAAATAAGTAAAATATATGATTACGGTGAATAATTTAAAAATAATTTAATAACTAATATTTGTTTATATTCTTTCTTTCTTTCTTTCTTTCTTTCTTTCTTTAACCATAATATTTACTAAAATTTAAAATTTGTTAAAATTTAAAATTTTCCAAAATTTTCCAAAATTTACGATGCTGATTTATATTCAACGATGCTTCAAAATGAATTAATAATGAATGAATCATACGTCTGGATAAGTATTATATGTCAACAAGGAAAATTTACGGTCAAATATTTTAATTAAAACATATAATAAATTTTATCACTTTATGTAATTAAAAAATTCAATTTAAATAAAATTTATAAATACTAATGTTCTAACAGTTCTCCTTTGGTTCCTGCACCTCTTTTTAAATAATACTTATTTAGTTACTTCCATAGTCCTTTTTTTTGTCCATTTTGTTTAAAAAAAAATTTTACTCATGCGTTTTTAAAAAAA